GGGTAAGCTAGGTCTGGGCGAGTACAGGTCATCAGGTACATGAGACAACCCACCAGCTCAGGATATGGACCGCTGGACTCAAATGGCTCGTCCGAAGGTGGAGCCGTGAGCCCATGATCCACAGCATGAGGGGTGGGCTTTACCTTGGAGAACAGGAAGTGAAACCGCGTGAGGCATGTAACGCGCGGACGAATGGGTGCGGGCGGAACGCGGGGCGACGGGTTAACGTGCGACGGGCGACGGTGCAGGTGACGGGCGGCCACGCGACGAGACGGGCAACGCGCAGCAGAAGCGGATAGTTCGCGGGCGACGGGCTGAAGGCAAGGAAGCCCTCACGAGGCGCACTACGGGCTGCACAAAGTGGCGCGCCATGGCGAGAGGCTAGCAGTGGGCCCATAAAAATTGGTCCTTAGGAAGGAACCGCTCTATACCATGTTAGAATATGAAACGTAATGAATGACTAGCAAATGAGCAAACAAACAAGATATAAGTCAGCCCTCACCCTAAACCTAGGACAAAACTAAATGCACATAGACTAGAACAATACAAACTACATCATTATAGTTTGACATAGACGACAGGTAGAAGCAAAGTCAACGAGCTCAGTGGCTAAGGCAGACGCAGCAGTAGACTCAATGGAAGGGTCAGTGACAAGGGTGGCCAGGAAACACGTGACAATAGGACTAGTAGCACGAGCAAGGTCGGACTCAGGGTAAGGAACGCCAGGAAGAGAGGAATCCGGAGGAGACGGCAGAGCAACACGCTGTGGAACAGAGGAAGGACGAAGTGCCATAATGTGTGTGCCGGGGACTGGCGGGAGACAAACACGATGAGCACCAGTGCGAACAGGCGAGACAGGATGAGACGCAGGCTCACGGCGCTCTGTCAGGGAGTCTGTCTGCTCAGGATAAGAAGAAGGAGCAGGCGGAGGGGAGTGAGGCAGTAACGGCGGCTGTGACTGGTCAGGCGAAGTACACAGTAGAGGTGGACTAAGGCGAGTGGAAGACGGAAGACTAAGAACCTGGCGAAGTGCCGAGTCAGGTGGTGGCAGTGATGACTGCGGCTGCGGGAAGAAAAACGGTCGCCGGTGCGCAGTACCCACAGTACCAGAGCCTCCAGCTCCAGTACCTCCAGCACCAGTACCTCCAGCAGCTCCAGCACCTCCAGCTCCAGCAGCTCCAGCACCTCCAGCTCCAGCACCTCGAGCACCACCAGCACCAGTACCTCCAGCACCTCCAGCTCCAGTACCTCCACCACCTCCAGCTCCAGCACCTCTTGTACCTCCAGCTCCAGCACCTCGAGCACCAGCATCTCCAGTACCTCCAGCACTAGTACCCCAACCAGATCGGCCTTGCCGAATAACCCACTCGCAAAGTTGCTGCTGCGAGAGAGTCTCCTGTCGACGAGACTGCCGCTGCTGTCCAACGCCAGAACCTCCACCAGGAGCACACACGACTCCGCCACCACTAGGACGCGCAGCACCCCTAGAAGCAGCACCCCCAAAACCAGCACCCCCCCGACTCAGCACCCCTAAAACCAGCACCTCCAGAGTCAGCACCCCCAGGACCAGCACCTCCAGAGTCCGCACCGCCAGTGTCACCACCCCCAGCAGCACCGGAGTCCACAGCGACAGGCTGCAGAGGCGGCGAAGACGGCCGAGGCGGAAACCAGGAGGGGTCTCCAATCGCGGGGAGCGGCGTGTGGCCGCTGTGTCGTCAGCAACAGTATCACCCCCCTCAGCTGGGCCAGAGGTGTCAGACGAGACCTCCAAAGGCTCAACCAAGGGGGGTGGGTCACCCTGAGACACACCTGAGGGAGCAGGACCCTGAGGGGGGAGGGGGTCTACCGGAGGGGGAGGGACCTGGAACCAGGATGAGGGGCGGCGGAGGGACAGGAGAAGACGAGTGGGGGTGGAGACGGTAGAAGCAAACCCACTCGTCAAAGGTGACATTCTGGGAGGACAGGACGTGGCGCGAGGCAGGGTGGTAAAATTGCCTGGGCGGGTCGTTGGTGGGAAAGCCAAGGAAGACGCAGCGGAGAGTGCGAGGAGAGAGCTTGCCCGCGGTAGGATCGCGGACAAGGGCAAGCGAGCCCCAGACCTGAAGCGTCGACGCATCGCCAACCTCCCCCGTCCAACGCAGTGTAGGCGAGGTCTCTGGCACAGAGACACGGGGCCAGTGGTTGAGCTGATGAGCGGCGTATCGGACCGCAAACAGCCACAGAAAATGGGGAGCAACCGCATTTATCATGGAGGTACGAGCAACCTCCATGATCAATCCAATGCGATGCTCAGCAATCCCATTCTGCTGTGGAGATTCCGGAAGCGTGAACGACTGGGCGATGCCCTCCTCACGACACAAGTCCTCAAGGAGGCGGGAGGAAAACTCACCGCCTTTGTCAGAGTGCAGTCGCAGGACCTGAAGGTCCTGCTGAAACCGTGCGCTCAGCTGGCGACGAATAGTGTGCGGATCCAGGGGGATCAAAACACCGCGGACATCCGCCTTGCTCTGCAAGGGGAAGACAGTGGTGTAGCGCGTGTAGTTGTCAACAACCAGCATGAAGTAGCGCTCGTGTTCCTGTCCACAGACGCGAGCGGGGCCCCTGTGGAGAGTCTGCAGAGGAGCAGTGGTCGGACGAAACGAGGAGTGAGGAGCGGCGCACTGCCGCCCCTCGACGCAGGGAAGGCACGGTGGTGCAAGCGACCGCGGGACCGCGGGGGCAGGGACTTGGAGAGGCCAGAGACAAGGAGACGGGAGTGCATGCTACGCAGACGCGACATGGAGGGTGACCCAGACGGTGGTGCCAAAGGAGAGATGGGTGCGTGAGTAACCGAGACGAGCAAGACGCAGCTACCTGACCGGACGCAGCTACCTGTGCAGACTGAGTGGTCAGCGTGTACAGGCCAGACCCGGGTCTCGGAGTGAACGTGGTGAGGTGGGCGCCAGACCGTGAGTCCGTACAGATCGCCACAAGTTCAACCCCAGGAGTAGTCACAGTGACAAACTAGTCTTGGAGGACAGCGTTACTCACCAAGTTCGTAGTGAACGAGGGGAGGTGGAGACCTCCAAGCGAGCCAGAAGGGCTGCCGGACACGGGAGAACGGTAGAGGCACGTGCTACTACTGGGCCCCCAGAGGTGTCAGCATGAATGACCGGGTCAGGTGAAGTGAGCGGTGTGACTGTGGTGCAGTCGCGGAAGAAGCAGCGAGACGCGCTTGAGTCAAGCGTGAAGGTGTGCAAAGCCTCCGCAGAGGCTGCACTTGTGCTAGCAGGCTCACACGCACCTAGACTGGTAGCCTCTACAACACCAGGGACGCGTCGCTGAGAAACCCACTCCCGAAGCTGCTGCGGCGAGAGGGTCTCTGGCTGACGCTGCTACCGCTGCTGTCCACCCCCAGAACCCCAGCCTCCACTAGCGACACCACTTGTACTAGCAGACACACGAGTACCTATACTCGCCTTCTCGACCAGCTGTTGTACCTCCCATAACAACGGACGGCACTGCCGCAGTGGCCGGGTGGCAGGAGAGAGTGAGGAGTAATGTCTAACCACAGCGTCGTAGAAAGTTTGGGCCGACGTCACTTGACAAAAGTGGGCCCTCTGGGCGAACGGCATGTGAGCGCAGACAGCAAGCTGTTTAGGGTTGATCCCTCCCGAAAATGCGCCCAGGTCCCTAGGGGTTTTAGTTTTTTCTGCCCTATATTTTTTAAATCTCTTGAATTTGTCGCAGTAAGTTTCCTGCTTGAGGAGCGTTATTACGGAAAGTGTCCTCAACTAGCAGTGAAGTTCAGGGCTAATTTTATCAGTGTAAATCACCCTGATACCCTGATTATCAGGGTGGTTTTTGGTAGTCACACTGATGGCCTAGGGTAATTTTTTTTGGAGCTAGGATTTTCCTGATATGCCAGGGTTTACATTTAAGGCACACTGATGCCTCAGGGATACCGATGTTCATAACGAGTTTTACCCTGAAGCGAGTACCATACCCCCCCCCCCCCCCCCCCCCCCCCCCCACTTCCCCCACCCCCCCTTTCCCGTAACCTGGGATTCCCGACTGCCAACTGTCGAAACCGGAATTTCAGCCTAGACAATACATGTGCTGGCACGAAGTGGGCCACCATTGGCCACCATCACCACTGACTCAACTCGGTCTGTTTGTCTGACATGATAATATTCACCAGGGTTTGAAAAACTGGTACACTGATCCCACAGGGCTGGATTTTCAAAATCACGAAAAACACTGATGGATCAGGGTTTGAAAAAGGTGTCACACTGATAATCAGGTTTTTGAACAGGTGCAACACTGATCACAAGGGTTGCTCAAAACAAAAAATTAGCCCTGGTGAAGTTCCCCCGAAAGCGCAGGGTCGACCGAAGTTCTCCCTCCATATCTGAAAACCCGTCAAACAATGGCTGACTGCGGGAACGTGATTGAGGGACTGAGTCGCAGTGTTCGCGCGGTGCATTGCACAGGTGCTTGTTGCACAGTCGATATCCACCCTTGACGCGATACGGTATTGGAAGGGTTCGCTTCACGCAGCAGCACGGGATTTTTACATGGCTTAAAAGGATATTAAACACATACCTAGAATTTGCCCCCGGATTTAATGCATTAAAACACCAACATTACACACAGCACTGGCCACATTATTCCCACACCCATGCACGCAGCTGTGCTCTCTAAACCCACACACACATGCTGCTCTCCATGCTCTCTACTTGACAATGAGTGGGTGCATCATGTCATTGTCCTCTTGCTTCAAGATGTGGCAGTGCTACACGTACCCCGGGCAGCATTATTCCCATGCACCATGCACACAGGTGTGCTCTCTACACCCATACCATCCATATGCCATGCTCTCCGTGCTCTTTGCTTGATAATAAGCGGCCACATCATCTCATTGTCCTTGTGCTCCAGGATGTGGCAGTGCCGTGCCACACACACCCCTGGATGGCCACATTATTCCCACACCCACGCACGCATGCTGCTCTCCATGCTCTCTACGTGGCAATGAGGGGGCGCATCATGTCGTTGTCCTCGTGCTCCAGGATGTGGCAGTGCCACACGTACCCCAGGCCACGCGTGGGGTTGAAGGGGAATGGCGACCCATCTTGCAAGCAGACAAGCGACCCACACACGCATCAGTACACTCCAGGCCTTGAGGTTGAATAACCGCCTCTCTCAATTCAGTATGCACGCTAATGACCTCACCTCTGTCCCAATAGAGAAAGCGTTGTAAGCAGCACCTCTGAAATCAGAGGAAGGCAGGACGGGGACGAGAATCTCACCTGGGAGAACCATCCGGTCCAGAGGGTGAGCACCTCGTCCCGCATCAGCACAGTGGTGTCCTTCCACCTGCGCTCGTACTCACCAACGCTACCCGCCTTCTCACTCACACGCACGCTGCTCCCCTCCCCTGTGAAGCAGCTGGGCAGGGAGGAGTTGGTGGAGGCGTGGGGGAAGGAGCACTGGCTGTTGCGGTGCGGTTGAAGGGGCGGCGGGCGAGGGGGCGGTGCATGATGAGGTGCAGGTGGATGGGGTGGGCGTCTGGCGTGTCGTTGATGATGTGCCATAGCTCCTCCCAGTTATGCTCACAGCACATGTGGACGCACGTGTAGGATGTCGACAACAACGGAGGGATAAGGTGAATGCGAACGAGACGTAGATGGATGGGATGAGCACCTGGCATGGTGTTAATGGTGTGTATATTGCACTCACCAGCTCGGGTGCCTCTCCTCGTTACACTCACCCGCTTGGGAGTCTCAGTGGGGGCGTAACTGAAGCCGTGGCCATCGAAGGTGATGCTCGAATTCACCCGCACGGCTGTCATCCACCTCTCCTTGCTCACACACGAGAGGTGCAGCTTGGGAAGGGACTGACACGGCGGGAGGGGGGTGTGAGAAGGAGAGAGGTGTGGGGGGGTGTGGGGAGGAGAGAGGTGAGGGGGGGGTGTGGGAAAGAAAGAGGTGAGCGGGGGTTGTGGGAAGGAGGGAGGGAGAAAGGAGGGGGACGTGCGACCCCAATGGCTGCCATTCACCTCTCCTTGTCCACACAGATGGGGTGAGGTAAGGGATCATCTGGAAGGGGTGCAGCTTGGGCATGTACGGACTGGGAGAGTACCGAGGGAAGCCTCAGCTCAGGCAGAGGGGCGGCCCGGGGGCAGGGTGAACGAGGGAAATACTTTACAGCACAGCACACCCGTGCTGGCCTACCGACAGCGCACACACACTCACAACAAGCTTCTTGGGGACAGGAGGCGACGGCACAACAGCACCCATGCTATCCACAATGAAGCGCATCACCACGCCCGTGTCGTTGCTGCCCCGTTTGTTGGTGAGAATGACGTCAGCACAGGAGGCGGGGAGAGAGGCGAAGTCGACTAGAATGTCGTGGCGCTCCCCCGGGGCGAGTAGCAGCGAGGAGCGGATCACGGGACGGGGCAGGTAGCCGCCGTCCGTGCCGATCTGGTGGGCAGGGCAGAGCAGAGCGAGGGGGAGGGGAAGGGGGAGGGGGAGGGGGAGGGGAGGGGAGGGGGAGGGGGAGGGGGAGGGGGAGGGGGAGGGGGAGGGGGAGGGGGAGGGGGAGGGGGAGGGGGAGGGGGAGGGGGAGGGGGAGGGGGAGGGGGAGGGGGAGGGGGAGGGGGAGGCGCATTTGTAGTTTTGGCAAGGACAGCGAGGGCGGGGCAGGTAGGCGCTGTCCATGCCAATCTGAAGATGGGGAGAGCCAGGGTGGGATGGGGGAGGAGGGAAGGGGAAGGGGAGGGACTGTCGGATCTGGCAGGGGAAGGCTGGGGGACTGGATGCGCACTGTAGCGACTGTCAGATCTGGCAGGCAAGGGGAAGGACGGGGAGGGGAATGAGCACGGTGAGGGACAAGGGATGGTGCAGAGGGATGGGAATGTGTGGAGAGGAGACGCCCACGAGCACGCAGTAGCTAATGCTGCAGCATGAGCGCTGTTGCTGTCAGTTCAGCAATACACATACATGGCCACATGCTCCATGCAGCATGGCACACAGCATAGCATAGCACACCTCCACGATGGGCAGCACACCTGCACGATGGGCAGCACACCTGCACGATGGGCAGCACATCCCCTGTGATGGGCAGGGTGAAGTCGGGGTAGTTGGAGGGGGCGGCGCACACGAAGCGCAGGTTGAAGAAGCGACTGCTGGCCGCCCCCAGCACTCGGAAGCGGTACCGCGCGCGCCTCACTGCTAGGAATGGCCACACCTGCGGGGTGCGGCGGGATGAGATGAGATGTAACGAGAGAACGGAAGAATGTGAGGCATGACATGAGCCGAAGAGGATACGTGGCTCACTTCACACGGGACAGAGGAAGGGGGAGAGAAAGAGAAAGAGGAAGAGGTCGGATGACAAAGGGCAAAGGAAGAAGAAGAGAAAGAGGAGGAGGAGGAAGAGGCAAAGCCAGCACGACTCACCAGGCCACTGACGAGGATGGTATTCCCAAGATACTCGGGCTCCCAGCCCCCAGAGGGATAGTCAATGGACCCGTTGGCAAAGAACGAGCGGTCCGAGATCGCCAGCGGCACCGTGAACTCCGCCCCAGGAAGCTGCGTGCGAAGCTTCCTCTCCACGCCCTTTGGGTCAGTGAGAACATACAGCCCCGCCATGCCAGCAGCCACGTTGAGCCAGGTGATGCCGACGGCGTGGTCGTGGTACCACAGGGTGGCCGCCTACTGGTCGTTGGGGTAGGTGTAGCGCCGCGAGCGGTACGTGGGGCCGGTTTCCCCAAACTGTGTGAACCAGGCCTGTGGGTGGCCGTCGGAGTGCGAGGGGGTCTCACCGCCATGCCTGTGGATCACTGCAGGGGGGAAGGGCGGGGCAGGACAGGACAGGGCAGGGCAGAGACGGGCAGGGCAGGGCCAGGGGGACATGGAGAAGGGGCTCTGAGCGGGCTCGAAGAGAGACGTAGAGATGGAGAGAGCAGAGGGGAAAGGGTTGACGAAGGGGAAGGGGATGAGCAGAGGGGAGGGGGGACGAGTGGAGGGGAAGTGATGGAGCCGAGGGGAAAGGGGAAGGGGCTGGCGGAAGCGGTTGTTACCAATGGGGATGCTGCCGCGCTTGGGGTGAGCAACGTCCATGAGGGTGTAGTCCACTGCAAACATGTGCGCCCTGTCCCTCAGGTGGTTCTTCCACCGCACCTGGTGGGCTCCCATGCCATGCACACATGCACATCGAGGCACACAAAGAAGGCAAGGTTTGCACAGTGCACGCACACCTGGAGAGCTGACATCGCTGGGAGATGAAAGACGTCTCACATCCAATGCACACAAGGACGGCCATGAGACGTCAATTGCATGCACACAGGGACGGCAATCGCTCACAACCAATGCCCAACGGAATCAAAGTTCCCATGTGCACTCTCCAGCCCAGCCCACTGTACCATCACTCGCCACTCTCCAACCCTCCATGCCATTCCACCACCCTCCACCCCTCCTTACCAAAATCCACCCCTCCATACCTTGGTGGCGATCCCCCGTCGGGCCACGAGCGTGGGGCCAGGGTAGTGAGCAGTGCGCTCGTTGGGCCCATAGGCGTACAGCTTCGTGGGCGGCAGGTCGCGGTGCAGCTTCTGTGGAGGGGAGGGGGAAGGGAGTGGGGAAGAAGAGAGGGTTTAAGGGTGCAGCGTTGAGCCCATAGGCGTACAGCTTCGTGGGGGGTAGGCCGCGGTGCAGCTTCTGTGGCCGGAGAGAGGGTGGAGGAGAGGGAGAGGAGAGGGAGAGGAGAGGGGGAGGGGTTGGGGGAGGGGGGTGTGAGAGAGAGAGGCAACATATGAACGAGGGAGGTAGAGCGTTGAGCGTATTGGAACCCATATGTGTGTGCGTATGACAGAGTGTGTGGACAGGGGAATGAGGGTGTTGAGGCCAGTGACGTATAGAGTAGCTGGGGGTGAGACTCGGACGACTGTGGAAGAGGAAGGGAGAGAGATACGGAACGAGAGAGAGCGGGTGAGAGTGAGAGATCGACAAGAGGACGGCCAATAAGGAAGCACCCCACAATCAGATTCTTTCATTCGACCACACCACACATACCTGGCGGACCCACTATCCGCCAACCCACTCTCCATGTACGCGTTTCATACTGCCTCAAGAAGCGCTACAACACGCAATTTCCAACTGCGTCCCACTCGCCTGGTAGATCTGATACGCGCCGATGCGGATCGTCCTCCCCGTGGACGCGTCCACCTCCACGCGCGGGGCGGCTGCCAGGTCATCCACGAACCTGCACAGCGGCTCGCTCGGAAACTCGTTCACACACGCCGGCTTCGCTAACGGCGCCCCCCGTACAGTCACACCGGCGGCAGCGGCGGCGGCCAGGAGAGCAATGGCAGCAGCAAGGACGGCGGCTGCGAAGGCACGAGGTGCTGGCGGCTCGCTGAAGAGAGGGTGGTGCTGCAGGCGAATGCGGGTGGTAACGCGAGCGTGAGCCATCGTGATGCCAGAGGGTGATGCGAGCAGGGTGCGACGGCCGTGCTGATGGCAGGTGCGAAAGGTTAGTTTCGAGTCGACTCAAAGGAATATTGGCGAGTAAGGGCGGTGATTGTGTGGTTGACGGATTTGAGATTGGACGGAGGGCTTTATGGTGAGACGACCGCGTCGAGTCGGCGTGAGTGGAAGCCGCGTGGTGCTACAATGATGCGCGTCGCGTGTCCTCGTGCACCTGGGCTATCGCATGACTGTCGCATGGGTGTCGTATGGGTGTCTCCTGGACGCATGGCGAGTCGCTGCCATCGCTGTCGTTTCTCGCCGTTCCCTGCGACGACCCAAGGGTGCTGACTCGGTTTGACTTGAGTTCGTTTCGAGCTCGACACTCGTGGCATCGCGTCAACGGGCAAACGACGCTGCCGCCAGCCGGGAAACGCGCTGTCCATTCCGTCTGTTTCTGATCCAAACGCTCTACGCCCCGCACTGTCGGCTTCGCCGTCTGACATAATTATGTGCCTTCCCGACCTGCCCCCAGTTCGCCACCCGTTCCGGACCGTACATCAATGGTGTCAGATGCGCCAGATGCGGTCACATCAGTTTCGTCTCGACGTGCCGGCAAAGCGACAGCACCGGGATGTCGCGACCTTCTGGCCATGGCGAAGTGGCAGCAGAAGGCGACTGACGGCAGACCCTACGAACAGGCCTGGCAGAATCAGGATGCTGTCATTCGTGTTGTCGCCGGTCACCCGTCAGCCATCGCCCGTCATTTGTTGGACCAACGCGTTTGCCATTTGCGCACTTTTGCTTCGATGCGTTTATTACCGTACCGAGATAATAAAGCCGGTACATACACAAGCTCCATACTCCAACAATACGGTAAAACAATTATGTAGTCTCGGTATACTTTGGAATAGAGATGGAACGTTCACTTCTCAACTGCGTAAGGGTAGCGTATGAGCTGTTACGAATAGTGAATTGAGAAACACTGTGCACTCCTATCAGTAGCAAGCGAGGATTGCAAAGACGCGTACGAATGAGAAGGGCCGGGATGACGCGAAGAGTCGCGTACGGTTAGCAGCATCTGGGCCGTCGGAGCAGATACATCGGGCAGCTGCAGCAGCAAGGATTGTGGCAGGAACAGATTTGTAACCGCCTGGAGTCGCACGGTTGGACTTCGATGCAATAAGGAAATGTACCCCTTAGAGTACATGGCTGGTCTAGGTCGTTTTGCATTCCTTTATACTATTATATAAACCTATTTATGCATTTGTTTTAAATATCCCACTCATTTTAAATTCACTCTGACCTAAGGTGTCAAATGTTGTTATTTGTTGTAGGCAACAGTGAGGTGCTCTTTAGTGAGTACAAGAGTTTTAGGGTTTCCTATTTGTACCCCTTGCTTTGCTAATCACAAACTTTCCGTTGCATTCTATTTCTGAGATGGTATCACGAGTAGGTTTAGAATCCTTGCCTAGCCTAGCCTAGCTCGCGCCCTCGAGCCCTCCGCGTCCTAGTGCGCCTCCGCGCCTTCTGCGCCCTCCGTTACGCGCCCTAGCGCACTCCGCGCCCTAGCGCCCTCCGTCACGCGCCCTAGCGCGCCTCCGCGCCCTAGCGCCCTCCGCGCCTTACACGCCCTCCGTCACGCGCCCTAGCGCCCTCCGCGCCCTAGCGCCCTCCGCGCACTCCCTAACGCGCCCTCCGAGGCCTCCGTAACGCGCCCTCCGCGCCTCCGCGCCTAGCCCTCCCCTACGCGCCCTCCACGCCCTCCGTATCGCGCGTCCGCCCCAGCCCGTCGCGTAGCCCATGCGTCCTACCCTAGCCCGTCGCGTAGCCCGTGCGCCCTGCCCCAACTCGTCGCGTGGCACATGGCCCCTGCCCCAGCCCGTTGCGTTGCTCGTGCGCCCTGCCCTAACCCGTTGCGTAGCCCGTGTGCCCTGCCCTAGCCCGTCGCATAGCCCGTGCGCCCTGCCCCAGCCCGTCACGTCGCCCATGCGCCCTGCCCCAGCCCGTCACGTCGTCCGTGCGCACTGCCCCTAGCCCGTGCGCGCCCGTGCGCCCTGCCCCTAGCCCGCGCGTCGCCCTTCCCCTAGGTTGCGCGCCCCCGCAGGTAGCGTGCCCCGTAGGTAGCGCGCCCCGCGGGTAGCGCGCCCCGCAGGCAGCACGCCGCGCGGGTAGCGCGTCCCGCGGGTAGTGCGCCCCGCAGGCAGCGCGCCCCGCAGCGCCAGAAAATAAATAAATTAATTAAACCCTAAAAAAAAAAAAAAAAAAAAAAAAAAAACAACAACAACAACAACAACAACAACAAAGAGGGGTTCAGGGTGTTGGGCTGCAACTGTCGCCCGCGTTCCTGCTTGCCAGATGACTTGCACAGTTCCCTACATACCGCAGCCGTCAGTACTGCAGCCCCTACTGTCGCACGTACATTCCACTGCCAGTGGCTCTACTAGCGGCAGCCGACAGCCGCACTTACAGTCTCTAGATCCAGCCGTTCTAGCTCCAGCCACTCCTAGCTCCAGCCGTGTCTAGCTCCAGCCGTTCTCGCTCCAGCCGTTCTAGCTCCAGCCGTTTCAGCTCGAGCCATTCTAGCTCCAGTCCGTTTCGCTCCTCGCTCCTACCTCAGATTGCTCCGTACTCCAGCCGTTCCTCGCCTAGTTTCACCTGGCGCTCCTAGTTGTTCTCGTTGTTTCACTGCAGCCGTCCCTAGCTCCTGACGCTCCTAGCCTTTCTCATGGCGTCCACTAGGGTTCTCCAGCAGCAGGGACAGCCGCAGCGGCAGTTTCAGCAGTGGCACCCGCAGCAGCAGTGGCGCCCTTAGCAGCAGCTCTGCCCTCAGCAGCTGTGGCGCCCTCAGCAGCCGTGGGGGCCTGGTGGTTCGGGTAGCGTTGGCTGCAGCAGCGGCCCAGCCAGCTTGGGGGCTCGTCGGGGTGGCCGCGACGTCGGCCCCTGCCAGTACCGGATCCTGACCGGCCCTGGTGCTGGCACTACGTGCTGGCGTCCTGACCACTCTGCACAGCGCTGCTACAGTCGCCTCGACGACCTCTACCGTGAGCGTTTTGGGCCTGAGTCGGCTCCCCCGATCTGGCCCGGTCTGTTTCGTAGTGGTTACCCTGTGTTTGATATGTCTACGGATGCTGTTTATTCTGTCATGTATGGATCTCTTGGCTTACGTGTACCTAGCTTAGGACCTTTGCTTGTTGCTAGTGTCGCTACTTGTGCTTTTAGTGTAGATGCTTGTGTAGTCACTAGCCCAGCCATGACGACTGCTGTTGCGTCGCTCTCCTTCACGCTGGACTCCGGCGCGTCTCAGTGCTTCTTCCGCGACCACACCACTGTCACACCTCTTTCGGCTCCAGTCCCAGTTGCCCTGGCTGATCCTACTTCAGGACCAGCAGTTGCTCGCAGCTCGACCACTCTCCCGTGCCCAGCTGTCACCTCTGGTTCCCTCACTGGTCTCTACATCCCCTCGTTCTCTCGGAACTTGGTGGGTGTTGGATACCTTCAGGACCGGGGGATCACAGTCACTTTTCCTGCGCACGAGAGGACTGCGATCTGTACGGACTCTTCCACCGGGGCGAGTGCGGATGGCGCTGGGGCAGCGATCATCGGCCGTGGATATGGTTGAGGAAGTGGTAGAGGACGAGGGGGAGGCAGGTTTGGTGGCAGCAACTTCAGTGGAGGCCGCGGGAATGTCGGAAGTGGCCGATTCGACGGCGAGTGCCACATTTGCCACAAGAGCGGACATATGTGGCACAATTGCTACAAGCTCCCAGATGGATGGACCCCTGCTCAAAGCCAAGAGGGTAGAGGAGCAGGAGGAGGGAAAGGAAGAGGCCGTGGAGGCCATGGCGGTCGCGGAGGTGGTGCTGCAAATATGAAGAGTGACGGCAACAAGAGCGAGTCGAGGGACGATCGCTTTCCGGGCCAATTCTTATTCGTCTCGACGCAAGCACCGGCTGCACCAGAGAAGGATGAAGGCTTTGAGGAGCCTGCTGCTGTGGGGAAGGTGACCCTACACTCCCTGGACTATTGGGTGATCGATAGCGGCACTACCTGTAGCATGACACCTCGCGCGGACTTGCTCACCGAACTCGAATTGTCACCGGTGAAGCATGTCACATCGGCTTTGGGGCAGCGAGCAGAGGTGAAAGGCATGGGCAAGGCCATGTTCAAGGGTGCTGATGGGAAGAAGGTGGGCCTCAAGAACGTGCTTTGGGTGCCCAAACTTGCTGCGAACCTGATTTCCGTGCGGCGGTTGCAAAAGGCCGGCATGGACACGAGTTCGAAGGGAGCCAAGACCTACACCGCAAGGATTGGCGAGCGGATTCTTTGGGACCTTCACGAGGATAGGGATGTCTAAAACGAGATGTGGCAGACCCCTGTGGTCCCAATGCCTAAGGAGAGGCAAGTGGCAGCAAGCATCAGCATTAAGGGTGAAGCCGTTGGTAGCGGCGATGGCGCGAACGGTCGCGCTAAGGAGAATGAGTCCAAGAAGTGCAATCTTGGAGGGACCAGCAACCTCGGTGAACACAAGGAGAGTGGTGCAGCAGCTAAGAAGCAGCAAAAGGGTGAGGAGAACCCCGAGGCAGCGGCGGAGGAGGAGTACGGAGAGAGCATGTGGGGCGCTATTGCGAGCGCGGCATTCTCCAATCCGACTTCGGCTACGGGGGAGTGTGATTGGCTCACCTTGCATCGGCGCATGGGGCATGTGGCCCTGCCCATCTTGCAGAAGCTAGTGAAGAATGAGATGGTTGCTGGCATACGTGTGAAGGGGGAACCCGATGAGGTACTTGGCTGCCCGACGTGCATGCAAGCCAAGTTAACCCGTTACCCGTTCTCTAGTTCAGAGGCAACGGCTAAGGCACCACTTGATGAGGTGGTGATGGACGTGGTAGGCCCCTTGAAGCTTGAAGCTGCTGGAGCAGAGTACTTCCTCACCATTGTCGACGTCTACACCCGCATGACTTGGGTGAACGTGCTGTCCAAGAAGAGCGACGTGGCTGAAACGG